ATTCATCGATAAGTCCAAACTGCACCACCGGCCAATCAGAAGCGTTGAGCCGCACCTAAGTGCGGTCGAGACTCGTTCTTAGTGTATTTGAGTACGGTTGAAGGACCAACAAAATTCGGCCTCAGTGCACACAGCGAGCTTGCAATAATGGGATCGAAAGGATCTCGGAAATTTTGCACCTCTAGACTTGGTATGCCAGTAACATGTGTGATTGACAGAAGTCGGTCTAAAGACGCATATTATACATATAGGCTTAAATATTTTAGCCAACGTGCTCTCGAAATTGGTTCAGTTCCGAAGTTCTCTTTACAGTTGGGAACATCTCATGCGAGCAAAATTTCTCCCGAAGAATTTTGCTCGTGTCAGCGTACTTGCTTCATCTTGAGAATTTCGGGTTAAACACCCGAATTCTGTTAAACTGTTATTGGCCAAAAAACTCACGGTATCAAAACAAATGACTCGTGCGCACAAACCCGCTCGCAGACTAGAGAGGTTCATCTCTGTTCCAGAGAAGTTTTCTAAACCTCTTTAGCCTGGCCTCAGATGCTTATTTTTGATACATCCGTTTCCGAAACCTAATCGTGACACTTTGTGCAATAAGTAAGCATTTAATCTACGAGGTTCAAGGAAAAGCGTAACCTTGTGTTCACATAATTTCCATTTGTTGATTATAATATCAGCTGTAGGATGTGACATTTATATTGGCTTTTCATCGACCAAACTACAGAAGAGTCAGTTGCCCCTTAAAAACTTGCTAAAATCAGGATTGACAAGGAAACACTGGGGAAAAAAACTCATTGGATCTAGGGTCCAGACTCTTAAAAACATCGACAAGAAAAAATACTCCTGATTCAATCAGATTTAAGCTTAAATCAAGAGCCAAGCCTCTTAATTTGAGCGGATTTCCTTTTGATTTAAGCGTAAATCTGAATTAAGAGTCCTTTTTCTTGTCAATGTTTTCAAGAGTCTGGACTCTAGATCTTTTTTCCAGTGAACCTTCTCACCAGCGTTTTCGATATTGCCAGCCTGATGGCTAATGGCTTCACCTATTTCGGCTGTTTTAGTGGTCTTCTTCCCCTCCAACAACAGACATTTGATTCCAAGTCAGTCTCTCACCTAAACTGACAACTACTAATACGGGGGAAAATTATCCCTCTCAACTAATATGCTGCAATTCGTCAGACTCGTTGACTTCGCAGACGTGATTCAAGCGCGCCAAAACGGCTTTAAAGAAATGTCAGCATTTTCAACGAGTGATCTTATGCGTTTTCATTCAAATTCAAGTTGATCGGAAATGCGTCTCCGGAACATCTGTGCGAAGCACGCGGTTTAGTCTTGACGATCAAACCTTACCGTCATTTTTCTAAAGAAGAAAATGCTAGGCTTGTCGCTACAGTGAACCATTTTCCATAATTCTTGAAATCATACAATATTCCTCTGTGCGTTTAATCTTGATTTATTCACGAATGACTCGGAAAAAAAAACTTAAGCGTGGAGCTCCACTCTGTAGAACTGAGCCCGAAAGTGCGGTACCCAAGTAGCATTTTTCAACGGAAAAATCGGGATGTATTGCAATTTTATCGGCGATAAAAGCGCTAGGATCATCAACATCTGAGTGATTATCCTCGATCTCATCGGGATAAAATCGCGGTTTTATCGCCCGGCAATTTATCGCGATATTTTCGAAATACAAATCGCGATAATTGGCGATTTAACCTCGATTTTATCGACAAAAATGGATCACGATTTTATCGAACCAAAAATTGCGATGTGTTGCGATTTAATCGTCATGCAGGGTTATTCAAAAGTCACGCACCACTGGCCATAACTTTAATTCTAATTAAGATATCGACTTGCGGTTTAAGACGTTTTTCCTCATATCGAGGGGGAAACTTTTCTAGGTACTTTCCAGGTTTTGATCTCCTCGGGGGCCGGGGGGCAACTCACAAATTTCAAAAGGCCATCCCCCTCATGGCCAGTGGTGCGTGACTTTTGCGGAATAACCCGGTATATCGCAATTTTCAATGCGTATATTGCCACCGATATAATCTCGATAACCAACCGATAAAATCGCTATTCATCGCGATCACTGGTAAGTAGCAGTGATCAGTAAGTGGGAGATCAAATGGAGCCAAGGAGCCACCCACCGTCGGTTGCGCTGAACTTCGGACGCCTCTAGGTTGGGTCACTCTAACGATAAAGTAGGGTCCAGCCCCACAGTGACGTTGTCGAGCGTAAAATAACCACCCCCTCCACCTGAATACGAACTGACCAGCGCGTTGCCACCAGGCTACGAGTGCGTTTAATTTCTGGGTGCGAATTCACACCTGTTAAGCGCGACTTTGTCCCTCGGCATGCTGAGCTACTGAGCCTTCAAAATTAAGAACACTGTAAAACTGATGGGATTGATGCAGGGACTCAAGTGTCACAAGATCTTTGTTCCCAAGCTCGTGTCGTTGGTGTGACATCGAATGAAGCTGTCAGTGCGCGGGACGCGCGCGCGATCAACATCTTTTGCCCCCTCAACTTCCTCTTCTGCCCTCTCTTTGTCGTCGCCTTTTTCTTCTTTTGATAAGCTATTCCAGCCTTCTTGGTCAGCTACATGTTAAACAAATTTTGAAGCATAAGACAAACGACTTATGATCGGGACTACCGTAGCGTAGCTCTATTCTCCACGGTCTTTCAGTGCTGAGCCCGACAACGCCAGACGTCAGCCTACAACTGCTCACCACTAAACGCTAGTTGAAGGGCTCATTTTCAGCGTTAATGCTGTTTTTGCTGTGTAAATTATCCGCGTTGCTCCTTATTTTTCTACTGCTAATTCTTCCAGGTAAGGTCCTTTTTTCCAGCTTGAGTAAGATTACTGTGCGTCTCCAAACGTGTCGGCACCCAATTCAATTACGACCTGAAGTGACAAGCATCAGGAATATCTAATGATAGTATCAACCAAGGAGAATAATGCGATAAATCAGGTCTGTGGCATACCGCGTTGAGTGTTGAGTTCGTCTCCGCTCCGTGACGACAGCACAGACTGAGCAAAAATACAGGTATTCGGGTAAAAGTTCAATGGAAGGATGGTTATGAAGAAGGTAATTCGGTGTAATGCTCAGATTCCGAATGGCGTGTACAGCTTAACAAATACGTGAATTCAACACGTCATATGTATCAGGAATAGGAAAATATTGCGATAAATCAGGTCTGTGGCATACCGCGTTGAGTGTTGAGTTCGTCTCCGCTCCGTGATGAAATCGCAGACTGAGCAAAAATACAGGTAATCGGGTAAAAATTCAACGAATGGATGGTTATGAAGAACGTAATTTGGGGTAATACTCAGATTCCGAATGGCGCGGTAAGTGCTCAACGAATACGTGAATTCAACACGTCACAAATATCAGGAATATCCGATGATAGTATCGACCAAGGAAAATAATGCGATAAATCAGGTGTGTGGCATACCGCGTTGAGTGTTGAGTTCTTCTCCGCTCCGTGATGAAATCGCAGACTGAGCAAAACGTGAATTCAACACGTCACAAATATCAGGAATATCCGATGATAGTATCGACCAAGGAAAATAATGCGATAAATCAGGTGTGTGGCATACCGCGTTGAGTGTTGAGTTCTTCTCCGCTCCGTGATGAAATCGCAGACTGAGCAAACATACAGGTATTTGGGTAAAAGTTCAAGGCAAGGATGGTTTTGAAGAAGGTAATTTATTGTAATGCTCAGATTCCGAATGGCGGGTACCTAGAGCTTAACGAATACGTGAATTCAACACCGCGTTGAGTGTCAAGTTCAGGCGAAAAGAGAATTCTGAAGAATCAAATATGATATCTACCAAATCCGCCATGGCCATTCGGTGAAAAATTCCTCGTTGAGTGTGCAGTTTGCCGCCTCTGTAAAGAAAGCACTACCTGCAATGTATAAAATGCACTTTTATTTCAATAATTTTGAGTGTCAGAGTAATAATTATGACGTTGGAACTCGTCTCTCTTTGGATAGTATTAAACTCAGTAGTAAACCCATGTGAAACCTCGCCCACCTTTAGTGGGTGTGCCTGCGAAGTAACTTAGCTTTGCACCCATCATTTTTTCTCAAGTAACTTTTCAGGCGCTTATTCACGAGAGATAAAAATAGTAATCGTCTCATAGTAGTTCAGCATTTCAATTTGAGGTGAATTTCAGAATCGGAGCCGGGTAAGCGCCTAAATATGTCTTAAACTCATAGCAAAACCACTACATCATGATCTTCGAGACTAATTTTTGAAAGTCACACATAGTGAGACACTTAAAGCTCACGAAGTCACGACAGATGCACGTGCACGTTGCGACTGGCGGCGCGGGTGAAATGAGCGATGCGCTGCGCATAGCCGATGGATCGGGGATTGGAGAACAGCAGCGAGCGTTCCTCGCAGTGGAAGACCCAACTATAACCTTTCATATTAGCAAGACTTTGATGCTGTAACTCATGCTGCCTTTTGTTAATGTAACGTTTCGTGAGGATATCCCAAGCAATCTGGTAGTTTGCTGAGGTAAGAGGCAGATGCTGAATAAGTACACGTAGCTCGCGTGAAAGGCTCACTGGAAAAAAAGAAAACACATTGGATCTAGAGTCCAGACCCTTAAGAACATCGACAAGAAAAAATACTCTTGATTCAATCGGATTTTTGCTTAGATCAAAAGGAAATCCGCTCAAATTAGGAGGCTTGGTACTTGATTTAAGCAAAAATCCGATTGAATCAAGAGTATTTCTTCATGTCGATGTTTTTGAGAGTCTGGACCCTAGATGCAACGTGTTTTTTTTTTTTTTTTTTTTTTTTTTTTTTTTTTTTTTTTTTACAGTGCATAATAGATGTATGAAACCCGACACACTACACTGAAATCTTGTGTTAATACAGGAAACACGAAGTAACTCAAATCCACACACATTTCACTCACATTCGTTGATTTTTTTTTTTATTTTTTTTTTTTTTTTTTTTTTTTTTTTTTTTTGGTGTGTGTGTTTACAGTCCGTGCGTCAAATCGACGAAACCTTAGAGTCGATGCGACCAAATATTTGCGTTGATAATCTGCGACCTCGTCAAAACTTATTCTACAGCATCCAGAATCGAACCGAAATCCAATGCGCTGGCCACTTACACGTCGCGGCTTCTGTCCTCTGAACAAGGGGAGGAAAACATGAGTTCATAAGTTCGGCAAGACACTTTCTTCCTGGTCCCATATCCCAGAGCAGCCTACGGTTTGGGTCGATCTGACACGAAACCGTGTTGAGCAATCATGTTCCTTAGATTGTTCTTAACCCCCCCCCCCCCAAAAAAAAAAAAAAAAAAAAAAAAAAAAAAAAAAAAAAAAAAAAAAAAAATAATACGAGAGTGACATCAAAAGCGGGAAGTTTTATCCGTGTGCGAAACCTAAACCGTCAATATTCTAGATAGACACTCCTAGTCTCCAAGTGTTCGTGGAACACTCCAAAGCTTTTTGGGGCCCAAGACCCATTCAACCGTAATGGACCGCCGAAGCTCTCGGGAAGCTCCAAGCGCACGGCGAGCCGCGGCCCAAGCGGCTGGTGAGAAACTGGACGCTGGACGAGGGATGCGGCGCGGCGCGAGACGGGGATGACGGGGCGGAAGTTGCTCGCTGTGATGGAAGCCAAGTTCGGGGAGCATCAGTCGCGTCATGTCTTTCCTCGCGAGTTCCCGCGAGCTGGATCCACCCTTGCCGAACAAGGTAAGTTCGTCTCAACCCCCTTTCGCTCCGCCGAGGTTCCATAGTATGCGATAATTTCCACTAGTCCAACCCAGTAATTCACACAACCCGTCTATTCCCTACCAAACAACTTGTCCTGATTGTTCACTTGGTATGTTCTCCATGGCTCAGTCAATTATTTTCTTACTAGTCGCTATGTTGAGCCTCTTAGCGTGAAGCTGGTGTAGGGGACTCTTACCTTACTATCTACCCACCCAACTCTCTAAAAGCCTTAAAAAATCCTACTATACATTCCTACTCTTTTCTTTAAACCTCTCGTATCATTAATATAACCCCCTCTGTCTATAGATGGCTGTAGATTCCTATCTAAACAATACAAAGGAATAGAAGCCACAAAACTCCAAAAAAAAAAAAAAAGTATGCGATGCCCTACACTGAGAAAAAGCTATGGTTTATAAACCTATTAGTGGTAAATATGGAACACCTATAATAGTCGTAAATAAACTAATGATTCTCGGTCTGTGAACCATACTAAGGTCTCTGTACCTAATTAAGGTACAGAGACCATAACTAAGGTATATGTGCTATTATTATATGTAGAGGTACTACTATTAGTGGTGTTCCATATTTACCTCTAATAGGTTTATAAGCCATAGTTTTTTCTCAGTGTAGGCACGGAATTCGTCTTCTCCCAGGCGAAAGGACGTAACCACAATCCAGCAAAATGCTGTTTCACTCGAACTTGATAAATTTTTACGCGAAAACTATCGGTCATTTCCAACTGAGAAAGGCGATTATTCCTCTGACCACAAGCTGAAATCGGCAAAATTTGTTTTCCCGATATTTCACCGTCGTAATCTTGTGGAAGATACACTTGTTTGAGTGAATTTTGTACCCTCAAAACGGAGTTTTTTCCTGCTGCCTGGGAGCCGATTAATGAAGCACGCGGAGAAAAATCTATGGTTTTATAATCCAATCAGTAGCTAATATGGAACACCGCACTAATAGTGGTGAATGAACAAATGGTTCCCGGTCTGTGAAGTATACTAAGGTATATTCACCGTCAGCAAGGTGCATTATGCTATTATTTGCCTTTATCACTATTAGTGGTGTTTCATATGACTCGCAACTTGGTTTATAAGCCCTAGATTCTTCTTAGTGCACCTCTTGCTTCATTTAAATTTCATAAAGAATACGATGGACTTGCGAAAACTTTCCTGATTCCACTCTTCCAAAGAATGAAGTTTTTTGCATGTAGCCTACATATTCTTGCTCATCTAAAAATGAAGTTTACTGATATGAAATTGAGCACTAAATCAATGGTGACATATGTTACTCAAGTGCTTATCGCGTGGTGATTTTTGCTCTGCAGGATTTCCTAAATAGTATGCCGAACCGCTCTTTCCTGACACGCGTTCCGAGTCTGATTCCGTTTCGTCGCGCCCACACCGACCTCACAGTCGACACCATCGAATCGCGATTGGAAGTAAGTATTCATTTTTGCCTGATCTCACCTTGTCCCGCGCGATACGATCTGTTCGATTCGAAACATATCGACCCGAACAGTTGAAAACACTATTGCAGGATGTCGCACAAATATTTTCTGCGTGTGCCTACCATTTGAGAGCCATCACAATTAGTTACTGAACCAAAAGAAACTCAGCTCAAATAGATGTACTTCATCGGTAATAAGCATGAGAATTGTTCTAACCTTAGGAAATTTCAAAATACAATTTCACGCGTTGTCTTTGCAGGTAAAAACTGTTTTTTGATTTCGAAGACTGTTGGTTTTCCATGAATATTAACAGTTTCCCCTGTTTTCTAGTAGCAATACTCCGTTCGCAGGAGTTCTGAGAGTGGTTCGTTTGGGCTGGAATTTTGCAGGATTTTCTTCTGGTGTAGTAGCACCTATCTGAAACCGGGCAGCTAAGCCTCTCCGATTTTATTTTTCCCCAATTTTTTTCATTAGGTGTGACCTCTACAAGAAGTAATCCTTATTGAACGAACACGAGGACAAGAATGAAAGCCGATTGATTAACGCATTGAAACTGCACTCTATCGAATCCCTCGACCCCTCGTCTTCATGTCGGTTAGTTAGCAGCCCTCGCTAGCTGCTGTTTAAGCGCGACTAGTACATTGACCTAAATATTTATAATTCGCCCCTTCAGTCAAGCGATTCAACTGTGGGACACTCCGTATCAAGCAGCACAGAGCTGCCCTCTGTGAGTTACGAATATATAAACGCAACGCAGTCCCACCAGCAACTGATCGGTGCCGTTTTTCTCTTCCTTGCAGAAAAAAGGCCGGTGGGACTTGAAGAGATCGAACTATTGTGAGAAGCTTGCCCGCTCTGCTTTTTTCCGCTCGCTGAATCTCGAGTCGTCCCACCAAGTGGAGAGCCAAGAGAGCTTCAATGAAGGCGACTACTGTCTCCTCGTCGACAGTCCGTTTCGGATCCTCAGGGTAAGGCTGTGTGTGCCCTCTGTCCGTTGTCCTCTGCACGCTTTTTGTGTTTCTCGCACCAATCTATGAAAAAAGCTCTAATTCCACCGATTTTTCTTTCTCAATTCTTTTTGTCACCTGTAAAAAATTCCGTTTCACCGGTTCTTCATTTAAACATTTGAAAACAGTAATTTCGATTTCTTCTCGAGGTCTGTAGATATATTTACCTAATAACTCAACAAATCTGAGCGGTTGATGCGTGTAGAAAATCCAGATATTAATCGCAAGCTCATATTCTAGATCATAGTATCGTAGACCCTGAGTGGCTGACATTGTATATCTTAGGATATTTCTCCTTAGCGAGACCAAGTTCGAAAAATATGCATTTTTAAAGTCTGATGAAGAAAGACTTTTGCATCCAGTCCTGGCCCCTTTGAGACATTACTGACGAACACAATCTCCTTTATCGTTCAAAATGTAAACAATTTGCTCTAACTAAACCAAAGCGTCAAGATAGAGGTTGTTAGATTTTCATATCTTATAGATTGTCATAGTCAAGTTGAGTATGCAATTTGACCCACGTCGACCATTGTGTTTTCAGGAGCGAGAGGTTTGAATTCACGTGTCAAGAAACATTAAATATCCTAGTTAGGAGTTAATTTTAGTAATTTTCGTTGCGTAAATTGTGTTATACGTGAAATTTCGGTCAGGAAACACGTATCAGAATGCTTAACTTTGTACTTTGTCTTGTGGTCCATTGGTTAAAAGAAAATATGAGCGGCCATAACTCACCACTTGGAACTCATATCCTCCACAGTGGCGTGGCGTGCGTTGTGGTGTATCGATTGATCTGCCATTTAAACCTACGGAAAAGAATCGATAAACAGGGTGTTCGCAACGAACACCTTTATAGTAGATTCTTTACCCCAGCTTCAAATGAGGAAAAATCGATTATCGATCATTCACGCCTCGCCAATGATCCTTAATCCCCCTATTTGCAGCTTTGCAGGGAGGAGAGAAAATTTTGCCAAGTAATCGAGTGATAGATTGAAATACAAGGAAAACTTTTCCCCCAACTCCCGATATACCTGGAAAGTTCGAGTCAAAAGGGTTGATCTCTGATAACGCGATGTCCTTTCCAGCACCCGAGTTTCAAAAAGCTTGAAGAAGGGTCACATCGGGGGGTGTGCTACGGCTACGGGGATGTGATCTTAAATTAACTCAGCAGAGACTGCGATGAATCAGGCACAAGCTCTAAGTTGCTTACTGTGTGCTTTGCGATGAAACATTCTTCTAAACGTGCTGAATTTACCCCGATAATTTTAGGAATAGAGTGAATTACAGGATCCAAGCCAGAGATGTTCGCAAAACCGAACTCTATTAATTTGCCGGACGTCTTTATAAGTTTAGTGACCGAATGGAGTTAAATTGACTTTGGTTTTTCGCGAATGGAAATGTTTAACTTTCTGATTCTGATGTTAATCGATGCGCTGGGCGCAAAAAAAGAATTTCTAAGTTCCGGTGTCTCATGACCTCCGTTAACGTTGCATCCATTAAACTTAGAAGAAGTGCATGGAATTCGCCAAAACTTAATCTGAATACCCTTCATGATATTAAAATGCTACAAAACCGAAAATTGCATACAATTTGCTCAATAGTTTCCTCTCTAAAATATGAATTAGCAGTGGAGATTATGGAAGACCGGAACGAAAAATCGCCCTCTCTGCACCCAACACGCTAATTTTCCACCCACGATTGAATTTTAAGCTCTTTTTCTACCATTAATATGCTTTGCGTGAAAATTCATCGATTGGAACGAATCTTGGGGTGCCTTAAATCTAACCTGACCCATTGGTCCATCACAACGCGCAGTCAGCCGCTGTTTGCCAGTCACTCGCTTGCGGGAAACTCGAGGCTCCGCGATGAATCTTGGCCGTTCAAAGTCAGCTTCCGTATCGACCCGGCGGCAAGGCACTAGCTCCTGGTTGATGCGCGTTAAGTTGTTTGAATGAGCGCGATGAGCAAACAAGGGTGTTGTCGCTTCTGAAAGCTCGGGCAATGTGACAGATGAAAGTCGACGAGCAGTAAAGGTTCATTATGTAGAAACGATGACTCGCCTCAGCGGAATCCTCGGTGAAGCCACGGTCTCGCCTTCGGCTCTCCGATGGGATCCCATTACGCCGGTAAAATGACGTTTCCTGATGTATAAAAAAGCAGATTATTCATTATGTTATCATTTTAGGCAGAGGAGTAACTGGTTGGAAGTCCAGTCAGTTAGTTTTGGGACTGACCTGCGGGCCGTTTTTTAAAATTGATAGACAAGAAATACAGGAGGGATCCTTTTGGTGGAAGCGGGTTGTTGCAATAGACGAAGGAGGTATAGGAAATATACTATCTAGCGGCAATCCACGAAAGACTCAATAGTTTTTCCATAATTTTCTCCCTTTCCCTCTTTGAACCACCCGTTTCAACCCTTAGGATTGCTCCATACTCCCCATATCTGCTTTGTCTATAGCTATATGTCTATAAATTTCAATAATTCGCCCGCAGTGTGCTATGTCAGCTCTCCGTCTGTTCCTCTTTTTTTTTTTTTTTTTGCAAGGAGGGATCGAGAAGAAGGGGGTAGACGAAAAGTAGAGGATGTGGAAGGGTAACAGGGTAAGGAGTCAGAAGAACGATGGGAAGGAACATAACGATCTATCTTTAGTCCATCATTGATTTATATTGATTTTGATTTTGTGAAAGGTCAACTTAAACTCGAAATCATTCACAATCATTTTTACCTTGCTAATCGACAATAAATATTTTTCTGCGAATGTAGATTTAATTCTTCAATTTGTAAGAAACTTGACAGCGGTAAGGTTTACTTGAATCGTAGGTGCGAGGTTAATTTCCGGTCAGGGTAATTAGTTGATAGCTGCGTTTTAAGCGTCATCGAGGTTTGTCTCGCAGCATGACTGATGTCAGCGCGAAGTTTTGAAACATCTCGCAGGAATCATACCAAATATATGAGACGTGTTATTTTTTTAATCGTTCATCCCATATGTCATTAAACCCTCGCGATCTTTTTGGTAAGCTTTACTTTGAAAGAGAGGAAACCTCTGAAGTGATCTGACCGGAAATTCAGCGCATTGGGTAATTTTCTCTCCCGCTTCGCGGAGATTTTGTAGCGTCATCAGATTAGTGAAATCTGAACAGCCCAAAATCATTCAACAGTCCAGGGCACTGGTAAAAGCTGAGGGCGTTGCAAGTCTTCCTGAGTCCTTAATTTCTCTCACTTCAAAAAACGTGACTTTTTGTTGGCACTGAGCATCAATAAAGCAAATCCTTGTGCGCATCCATTCTTTCCAACTTTTTTTCAGTTTTCAACACGCTCGTCTTGACCGCGATACAGGGTGAAGAAATCAATCACCACACAGCGGATTTGGCTCCGAATTCCTTGAATTCTTCGCATTTTTTAGAGGAGCTACATAGACAGCAACTAACAAAAACTGGAATTCTGGACACATATTGACCACTAGACACAGGTAATAACGGAAATAGTTGCACAAGAAGATACTACACACACTGAGACTCACTAAACAATTTTAAAGTGAAATCAATACACTGAAAAGCACAGACATGTCAGAGCGATTTACAACACGTCCATCACACACATTATGACGCTAGCTGGTGAACTTTTTTTTCTTCTTTTTGCATGTCTCGTGCGGAGCACAAAACAGCCACCTCTAATAAAAAGCCGTGTACCTGCCTTGTGCAGACGCAACGAGAATCTTTCATTTTATTCATCAGATTTCTCGAATACAACTCCATATAACTCATTGACCAAATCGGTGGCCACATCTTCGCAAGCCCCGTTTAACCGAGTGTTGGTGAAATCTTTCGTCCTGACTCCGGAGAAAAGCCCTGGCTTTATTTTGAGGTCCAGTGTGTCTGTCCAGGAACGTCGGGGTAACGGACCGACATGTTATCCTTAGACCGTGCAAGCCAATGGTGAGCCTGCACCCAAGCCTTAAGCGCGCCGCGCTCAAGGCCAATCTTAGCACGTAGAAAATGAATAAATGCTTATGAGCATGTGGAGTGTGCTGAATATTAAAGTCGGCGTAGTCTAACATATAATAGTCTGCGCTATAAAAGCGACTTTATGTATGTAGTCTAACATCGTCAGATGTTGTCTAGGAGTTCCCGTGAGCTTGGCACGCAACCGCTCGCATTGGAAGGCGGCCGCACTGACCAACCTCCTCTCAAAATCAGAGGGCCACATCAGCATCAGATATCGCGGCACCAGTTGGCAACAGTCTACATCTTTGCAGGCAGTTGGACAAATTTGTGACTAAGCCACCCGGCTGCGGGACCCAGAACACAAGAGAGAACAAAGTTCTGAAAGGAAAACAACAACTTAATCTTTTGGGACGACAGAAACACGGCCGGAAAGAACACACACTACATACACTGTTGAAAAGGACTTAAATATGGTTGGGGAACAAGTCCCCAACCTTTCAAAAAAGAATACTCACATTGTGACGCACGGTCTTGACCCGGGCCAAACTACTACTGACTCCTCCAACGGCTCTGGGCACGCCATCTCTGATTGGTCGATCCATCATCATTCGGCAACTGCAACCAATCAGAGATGCCTTGCCCAGAACCACTGGGGAGGTGTCGCCCTCTGGCGAAACTACTTCTGATACATTACCGCGCTACAAATTCTTAAGACTAGTAGATACAGCTTTAGGGTCTTGTTGTAATAGCCGAGTTGGGCGTGACCCTCGCGAGTCTGATGCAGCTTCTCTGGTGTCTTATGGAGTTGGGCCGCCGAGTCGCAAATTAGAGCCCTACGATGAATTTTATTTATGCGAGAAAACGCAAGCACGGCGAGATAGGGAAACGCACTGTCTATAGGTTAATAAGTTTCAAGCAGCCAGGAAGAAAAAGGAAGCTGAGCTGGAGGCCAAGGAAAAAGAACTCTCAGAGTATAAGACCCAGCAAACCATTCCTGCTGTAGTACAAAAGATGACACCATCTAGTGATTTATCATTACTGTTTCAGTTGTTTAACGAATACATGGGCAACCAACCAATGGTTATCTACGTTGCACGGAGCTATAATCTCATGTTCATCACCAACTTTCAGAG